CCTGCCCAACATGAGGGTGCAGAGCTGTAGCTGCTCCTGGGACGGGGTGCCCGTGCCCCGGAAGCTGGAGCCTTAGATGTGGGGCGTGGCCACCGGGGGACTTGGCTTCTGTGGGCATCAGGGGTGTTGTAGGGCATGGGGAGAGCCAGGGGTTGTTGCTGATGGGCAAAGGCTCTCTGTCATCTACTGAGCTCTCTGTCCATTCAGCTCGCCTCCTAATTTTTGCTTCCCAGAGTCAAGACTCCTTGGCAACTGGGTAGCCCCCACCTGTGTTCTCTGTTCATGTGACGATATCCCAAGCAGTTACCTCTGCCAAGTCTATAACCCAAGAGCAGGAAGCCAAGTTGTCATTGTTTCCTTGAACTGTCACTGGATCTGGGCTGAGCTCTGTGGAATGGGCCTGTGGTAGGGTCAAGTATGGGTTGTGTATTCCCAACCCAAATAGGGCATTTTCTAACCAACAAACGAAACATGTTTTAATCTGTATTTCTCTATTTTACCCAGAACCTCCAGGGAACAGAAAGTTCTAAAGGGATTAGGTCCACCTTATTAGAAAGCTAAGGAAGGAGCTGGAGAGGATTCAGTCAAGGTCTCCGTTAGTAATACTAGGACTGAAGCCATTCAGAGCCAAGTGCACTTGTCCTGCTAAAATCCAAGCAGACATCTTTTTTTTTCTTTTTTTTATTTATTCCTGAGAAACGGGGAGAGAGAGAGAGAGAGAGAAGTAGAGGGAGGAGCAGGCTCCCAAGGAGCAGGGAGCCCGATGCGGGACTCGATCCCAGGACCCTGGGATCATGACCTGAGCCGAAGGCAGACGCTTAACCATCTGAGCCACCCAAGCAGACATCTTTTTGTCCCGACGTTTTTACCCTCCTGGGCACAGGGAGTGGGCTTTGTTTCAATTCTACTTGCTACAAAATAAAAAGTCTGTGATGAAAAAAATCATCAGTACTGTAAGGCTGTAGGTCACGCCTTTAGCTTTTGGGGCAGATGAAGGGAGCAAACGCTGAAAATGTTGGATATGACATTTTCGAGTGCCCGGATTACAGGGGCTGATAAGCTGTGACTTCGATCCCAGCCTGGCCATCTTGAATGCCTAGCCAGTGTGCAGAGCTCTTATTAGCTCTGAATTCCATACCCTCCAAACCCCTATCTCCCTCCCTATCCAACAGAATAATCCCCGACTCCCAAAAACTTACTGGAGATTTAAGGCAAAGGTGTTTTTACCAGCAGCCCCCACACGGATGATACATGACAGGGGTTACGGCCATCTCAACTTTTACAGGGGTTTTGGCTATCTCAACTCACATTCGGACCCGAATGGCCTTCTCTTGATTTTGAAATAAACTTCATTTACTGAAAATCAAATTTAGAAATCCCTTTCCTCTCTGAAATTTTGAAATCAAAGATTCTAACATTTCTCCTTTTTTTTTTTGGTCAGTGGCTTCACCATTCTACCTCCTGGGGATAGACCCTGGTACTTCCCCGGGGACCCCACAGTGCAGAGCAGGCCGGTGGTGGTGCCGTTAATTGAGGTAGGAAGGAACTAGGGCATGCAGGACAGGGGTGTGAGGGACGGGAAGAGGGTAGACAGTCTGAGAAGTCTGGTGGGGGGTGGGGACGATGAGGACAGACGTCCAGCCAACCACACCCAGGAACCCGGGTGGGGGGAGGCCAAGTGTGAGGCCCTTGGCAGCAGAAGGCAACCCCAGGAGAGGACAGACGCGCAGGCACTTGTCAGGCGGACAAGGGCTGAGCGCAGGGGCCCTCGGCAAACTCCAGGAAATGACTAGTGGCTGGGATTCGGGCGGGGGGACGGGTTGGGGGGCAAGGAGGAGGCCAGATGGGACCGAAAAGAACTGTTGGAGAGGCAGGAGGAGCCGCCGGGCACCCACCCCGGCCCATCCCAGCGCAGAGAGCCACGGGCCGGCTCCAATCAGGGGCACGGAGGAACGGGCAATGAAAGAGGAGAGGTCAGGCACGCGAGAGGCCCAAGAAGCTGCAAGGGCGCCCCCCCACGTGAGGGTCCAGTGCCGCCCGGACCTTTCCGATCGGTAGTGCCGGAAAGGCCCCGAGGTTCCCCTGCTCCCAGGCCTGGGGCTGCAGATGCGGAAGTCGAGGCCCGCGCAGGCGGGACGCGGGAGGCCGCTGCCCGGGGGCGCAGCGCCTCGTCCCGTGCGCCCCGTCCCGTGCGCCCCGCGCCGCCCCGGCGAGCTGCCAAGCCCTCTGCGCAGGCCACAGGCTCCGGGGAACACGCGCTCCCGCCGCGCCCGCGCAGCTCGGGCCCGGGGGCCGTCGGCCACCCTGCGACCTCCGGCCGGAGCCGAGCTGCGCGTCCCCGCGGGGGCCGGGGCTGCGCGCGGGGGGCGGGGGCCGCGGGGCGCCGGTCGCCGCCGCAAATTGGGCCGGCGGCGCGCGTGCGGCTCTGCGCATGTGCGGGAGGCGCCGGAGTTTCCCTTTGCAACTTTTCAGGGCCTGGGGACACCGCCCCGCCCGGCCAGGTGGAGCCCGCCGCGCCCGCGCCGCAGGTAGAGGGGAAGGGGCGAGGCGGAGGGGGCGGGGGGTCGGGTCCCGGGCCCACAGCCTTTCCGGACTCCCCCTGCGAGGCTCCCTCTCCCCTCGCCTCCCCTCGGGGACATGTCCCCGGGAGCCCGACCTCCTAGCCGGGACGGGGAGCGAGGAGCGCAGCTGGGGTGGGGGCTCTTCCTTCCCGGACTCTGTGCCCTGCAGGCCTGGGAAGGCGCCGGGCGCCCGAATCCTCTGCCGCTGGGAAGGGGTAGAAGCCCCCGGGGCTATCTGTCCCTCAGGGACCCCTGCCCGCAGCCCTGCAGGCGCCCCGAGGAGGGAGGCCAGGGGCTCGGGGAGGGTGAGGAGAGTTCTTCCAGGAAACCCAAACCGCCCAGGTCCGGGGACCTGATAAGACTGGCCACCTGAGACACTGGGTTGGCCTCCACCTTTCAGCCGCCGGTGGTGTCCTCAAGGGCAGGACTCCACAGTGCGGGAGACCGAGTGACCGCCAGCTTCCTTCCCCGCCGAACCTGCGCGGCTGCGCCTAGAGTGTCCCCGCTTCCTGGTTCGGCCGGTGGGCTGTGCTCCCCAGGCCCGCCCCGGGGCACAAGGAGGGGGGCTGTGGAGGCGCGCTGGGGCCTCTCAGAGGTCCTGGCGCCTACAGGGTTGAAGACACTCGTGGGGGGCAGGGGGAAGATCTCTCCGTCATCCCTCACTGCAGGAACAACCAGTATTTCTCCCTTTTCCCTCCTCCCCTCCTCTGACACCTGTGTGCTTCTGCCTTCGGAGAATGGGAACAGAAGCAGAGGACCCCTCCTCTTCACGTGACCTCTTCTTTGTTTAGTGTGGGGCAAAGATCTCTCTTGAACAGGGCTGTAACAGGGAAAAAACATCAGAGGGAGTCCTGACATTGTCTCCCAGTAGCTGGAGGAGTGACTTAAAAACCAAGGGCTTTCGAGGGCTCACTGGGACTAAGCCCTGGGCCAAGTGCTTCGTGGCACTGTCAGCCCTGTAAGTAAGAGGAATAACATCCATCGCCCCCATTTTATGGAGAAGGAAGTCAAGGCAATGAGCATTTAAGCCGCTTGTCTAAGCAACATGGTACCGAGACCCTAAGTGCAGAGCCTGCTCAGGTAACTGCTGGGTGCCGTGCCTCCCCGGGGCTCCAGGGCCCATGTCTATGGAGGGAAACAGTTGTCCAGGGTCCTGGGTCCTGTCTGGTGGTGCTTTAAGAACTTTGTATTCACTTGGCAAGCTTCTCTTGCATCCGGCAGATCCGAGTTAGCTCCTGTGGCCACGGGGCCTACTTGCTGCTTCCCCCAACTGAGCCAGCTCCCCGCCTCCTCCCCAGCCCGGGAAGGTTGCCCTGTGGTTCTTGTGCCCCCAGCTGCCCGGCTCACAGCTTGTCTGTTCGGGAAGCTGCGGGGGGGTGGGGGCGGCTGGTCCTGGAGGCACTGTGATGTTTTAGGCGAATTGGGACGTGACGTGTGTATAGCACAGGGACAGTTCAGAAATGAGCTGGAAGGTCTGCGGGGGCGGCTGGCTCTGCCCTCAGTTGGGTGCCTCCCCTGGAGGGGCTGGCCCGACAGGCCACAGTCCGGGGCGCCCCGAGGCTCCCTCCTGGGCTGGTAGTATTTGCTGGCTGACCTCACCAGCTCTGACCCAACTTTGTAAAACCACCCCGGGGAGCCTGTTTGGCAGGAGCAAGGTGACTTAGAGGTGTGCCCGGAGCCGACGGAGGAAGAGGACTCACAGGTACCTTCCTCCCACGGGGCCGCTGCCCTTCTAGAAGTCCTGTCTGGCCGCCCCTTCCCAGGGACACTGCTACCTCTGTGAGCATTTTGTGAGGAGGATTTGTTTTTTCTTCCCACGTCACCTTTCAGGCCTTCCTTGTTTGTTGTGCTGTGTTCCTTCTCCTGACTCTAGCCCTTGGACAGCAGCTGCCCTTGGGGCCCCGATGAGGTCCTGGGCTCAGAGGCTGACCCGGAGCCCATGGCCACCCCTGCTCCCGTGGGGCGGACACTCCCCAGTCCTCGCAGTGCCTGGAGCCAGAGAGGAGGGGAGAGGCTGCTGACGTTGTGGGGAGGAGAGAGGAGCAAGCAGCACAGAGGAGAGCCCAGCACCAGTTCTGGGAGCTGGGGGGTAGAGCAGCCTGGGGGAGCCCCCAGGGAAGAGCCAGAGGCTCCATGTGGGTGCCTGAGCTCAGAGACAGGGCAGGTGTGAGCGCAGGGCCATGTGTCATACTGGAAAAGGCAGCCCCCAGTGATTGGGGCTGTCTATGCTCCTTAGGAAAGCCTCTGAAGGCTGGTGCTCCCTGGTCCTGGGGTCAGGAAGGCCCCGCAGGAAAGGAGGAGCAGGCCCAAGGCATCTTGGAAGGTGGCTGGGGCCACCTCTGTCTGTGCCAGAGCGGGAGGGGGAGCCAGCTCCAAGTGAGGACATCTCTGAGGGACGTGCCCACAGTCCTTCCTGCTGGTGAGTGTGGGGCGGGAGGGAGGGGCGGGCACTGGCCGTGCAGTGTCAGGCCAGACCCTGCGGTCAGGGTGGGGCTGCTGGGTGACTTTTAGAGCAGGGAAAGCAACAGGATCTGTCTCCCAGAGGTAGTCTTTGTGACTCTGTTGAGAGGCACCAACTGCAAGGCCTCGTATCTTCCAGCCATTGCCAAGTCTCTTGCCGGGGTGAGAAAGTGACTCGGCCTTCTGGGGCTCCTCCCAAGGCCCCGGACCTGCCACCCCCACCCCCTTCCTGCCCTTGCTGTCATGAGTGTGAGACTGTCCCCTGCCAGCCCCAGGGGTCAGAAGTGGCCCTCAGCACCCCATACACACCCCAGCAGCATTCCCAGGTAGTCCAAACACCTGGTTGGGTTGTCTGTACCTTTTCTTCTTGTCCCAAGAGTTTTGTTCCTATAGCAGCTTAGAAATACCAGAGCCAGGGGCGCCTGGGTGGCTCCGTCGGTTAAGTGTCTGACTCGTGATTTTGGCTCAGGTCCTGACCTCAGGGTAGTGAGATCGAGCCCCCTCGGGCTCCTCGCTCAGTGGGGAGTCTGCTTGAGGGTTTCTCTCCCTCCCTCTGCCTCTGCTCCCCCCACTCATGTGCTCTCTCTCTCAAATAAAGAAAATCTTAAAAAAAAAAAAAAAAAGGGAAATAAAAATCAGACCTAGCAGAATCCCCAGATGTGGGGAGGTGGGAGCTTGAGGGAGGGTTGCCGAGTGTTTCTGCTGGCTCTTCGGCCACAGACAGCGTGAGGCGGGGGCCAGAACTTGGGCGCTAACTCTGGGGCCTGGTGTCGGGAGACAAACACAGGAGATTTCCATTAGCTTCACAGGGGTGCCAGGAAGCCTCAGAAAGGAAAGGTCAACAACCAGCCGGGAGGAATATTTGCTTTGGAAATGCTGGGCCTTCCAGTTAGACCAAGGGTACCCAGGAGGGTGGGGGTGGCAGGACAGAGCTGGGATGTGCTCCAGGGGTCCCTGAGGAGCCCCCTCCCTCCTCCCATCCTCCTCCATCTCCCCCCTGCCCCCACCCCACCTCTGGCTGCCCCTTCTGGGCCTTCACAGAGCTAATGTGGGGAGCCAGCCGGGGAGCGTGGCAGGGCCCGAAGAGGCTGGGCCTGAGGCCGACTCGGCGCTGAGCCCCCGTGCCTCAGTTCCAAGTAGAAAGGCCTGCGTCGGAGGCCCGGCTGGACAGCCCAGGGGCAGTGGGGCCAGGGCACTGACCGTTGCCGCCTTCTTGGATGTCCCTTCTAATTTGTTGGTTCCTGTGTTTACTCCCCGCCTTTATCTCCCTCCCGTCCGGTCTGTCCCCTGCCTGCCCACTAGAGCTCCGGGGCCCCCACAGGATGCTCCCTCAGCAGCAGCCCCTGAGGCCACGGCGGCCCCTGGCCGTTTGCCCATCCCGGAGAGGCTGCCAACTCTGTCCCGGACGAGCCCTCCCCCTGCCCGGCTGACCCTTGGGACTGTCCCCACAGTGGAGCTGTTCTCGTGGGCCCTGCCAGGCTCCTTGCTGCTGGCCCCCACCTTGGCCTCTGCCAGTGCAGGCGGGGAGACCGCGGGGGCGCCCACGCCCTGACCGTCGGCCCGGGTTTGCTCTCCAGGGAGGACAGGCGCGATGAGCGGCCCCCGCCCCCTGGAGCTGTGGCAGTCCAAGGCGGTGTCCGTGCGCGAGCGGCTGGGCATCGGGGACCAGCCCAACGACTCCTACTGCTACAACTCGGCCAGAAACAGCACTGTGCTGCAGGGGGTCACCTTCGGCGGCGTCCCCACCGTCCTGCTCATAGACGTCACCTGCTTCCTGGTGAGACCCCTCCTGAACCGTGTCCCCCTCCCCCCCTTACCCCGTCCCCAGGCCTTCTGGGAAGGTCAGGTGAGGAGCCAGGCCTACCTGAGTGTGGATGCCGGCTCTGCCGTCCGCCTGCTGGGGCCACGGCCCGCGTGTGCTGCCCCGTACAGCGGAGGTCAGGAATTAGCTGCGGGATTTCCGGAGAGGATCCCGTCGGGCTCTGCAGGGACAGAGCCCAAGTAGCTGTGCCTTTGAAGGAAGCATCCCCGGAGTTAGCAGCCTGTCGCATGGGGAGGCCTGCGGGCGGGGGGGGGGG